GTATACTATTTCTTTTTTGTTTTTTTTTTGGGGGGGGGATACACACACACACACACACACACACACACACACACACACACACACATTTGTTGTTGTTGTTAATCCTCACCAGGGGATATTTTTCCAATGATTTTTAAGGAGAGTGGAAGAGAGAGGGAAAGACAGAGGAATCATTGATGTGAGAGAAACATATCGATTGGTTGCCTCCTGCACAAGCCCTGACCAGGCCCCCAGACCAGGGAAGAGCCTGCAACCAAGGTACCCTTGAACAGAATCGAACCCAGGACTGCAGTCCGATGTTCTATCCACTGAGCAAAACCAGCTAGGGCTTAAATTTATTTGTATTGATTTCAGAGAGGAAGGGAGAGAGAAAGAAACATCAATGATGAGAGAAAATCATTGATTGACTGCCTCCTGTACGCCCCACACTGGGGACCAAGCCTGCAACTCAAGAATGTGCCCTGACCAGGAATCGAACTATGACCTCCTGGTTCATATGTCGAAACTCAACCACTGAGGCACATCAGCCGGACTTCTTTTCTATTTTTAAAAATCACTTTATTTCACCTCCTCTTTCTCTTTATCTAGTTTTGTTTTCATTCTCATATTCCTTCGTGTAGTCCTTGACCAGCTCGGGTGGTCAAGTTCCCTCCTAGGTGTTCTTGCTGTTCTTTGCCAGCCCCTGCATCCCGATATTCATCGGGATGTAGCTCTGGGTTCTCCTGTCCTCAGGTCAGCCGCATGCCCCATTGCTTCCTTCTTCTGTCTCCACAGACACAATGAGCATGAGGGTCATGCCTGTGGTTTTCCCTCATCTGTTGATATTTTCACGCTCACAGAGATAGATACTTTGGTGTAAATGTTGTCCCTATCTCACTGCTCTGTCTGTTCTTGATGTAGGGATTCAGGAAGATTCCAAAGTACTCTGCAGCCATCTTCCCCAAATTCCCCTGAGTGATCCCCCTGATTTGAGGTAAATCCGATCATGTCACTCACCTGTTCAGAACCCACCAGTGGCTTCCCTTTGCACCATCACTCAATCCTAATTCCTTAGGTGGCCTATGAGTCCCACATGCCCTGCCCCAGCCCCCTGGTCTTCTTTCTCTTCCTTGAACTCACTAACTGCAATGCTGCCCCGGGGCCTTTGCACTTGCTCTGCCTAGACTACTCTCCCCCAAGAACCTCACATGCCTCACTTCTCCTTTTCACCCACATCTCAGGTCATATGTGACCCCCTCAAAAAAGCTATCTCTGACCAATCTATCTGAAGCAGACCTCCCTTCCCCACCCCCAGTCTTAATAGAAGACTGAGAGTGGGTGATTGCATCTTGGAGGTGTCATTCTCAGCAGCCCCAGGTTGGAGAACATGTTTCAGGACTGGATGTTCCATGAAACACATGCCAGTAAGCCAAGCATGGGGTCCCCACCTGCTGTGGGGATGGAAATGACAGGAAACTCCAAAGGCCAGAGACTCCCCCAGCCCCAGATGTCAGGTTGAACTGAGGAAGCCCCACACACTGAGACTGTTCACATATAGCTCATGGTACCAGAGAGATGTAACTTCTTTTTATTAACTAGAGGCCTGATGCATGAAACTCGTGCAAGGGGCTTCACCCTCCCAGCCCTGGCTTCGTCCAGAAGGACATCTGGTCTGATTAGCATATTACGCTTTTATTATTATAGAAAACTATAGATCCACAGAAAGCTGCAAAAATCCTACAGGGAGGCCCACGTGCTCTTTCCCCAGTGTCCCCCAGCGGAAACACCTGGCACTCACAGCATCACAGCCAGGACACTGACATGGCACGGTGTGTGTGTAATTCTGTGTCGTCCACCACATGTGGGGACCTGCACAGGCACCACCACAGTCAAGACACGGAACTGTTCTGTCACGGCAAAGACCTCCCTCAGGCCACCCCTTCATAGTCACACCCATGGCTAGTCCCCGTTCCTACCCCAGGCAGCCCCACCACTGATCTGTTTCTCCGTCTCCACAACTCTGTAATTTGAGAATGTTAGATAAGTGGAATCACACAGTATGTGACCTTCTGAGATTGGTTTTTTTCATTCAACATAACGCCCTTGCAATCCATCCAGGTTGGTGCATGTGTCAACAATTTGTTCTTTTTTATTGCTGTGTGGTATTCCATGGCATGGGCATACCCGTTTATTTAGCCATCCACCTACTGTGATTTTTTTCCCTTTAACGCCAGCTTATTGTCTTCTGGTAGCTGGATTATCTCTCTTCCTGTCTCCATCCAGCCTTCCGGGGACTCAGTCACACTCTCTGAGAGCTCAGCCATCATTTCCCATGGCACCACCGGCCTGGTCACGTGGAATGCTGCACTCTACCTTGCAGAATGGGCCATAGAGAACGCAGCGGCTTTCACTCACAGGTGACCTCGGGGCACAGGGCAGGCAGGGTACCAAGGCGAGTTTTCCCCAGCACGATTTCAGACACGTGTCCCCTTCTCCCACTCAGGACTGTCTTAGAGCTCGGCAGTGGAGCCGGCCTCACAGGCCTGGCCATTTGCAAGATGTGCCATCCTAGAGCATATGTCTTCAGTGACTGTCACAGCCTTGTCCTCGAGCAGCTCCGAGGGAACATCCTTCTCAATGGCCTCCTGTTAGAGTCAGATGTCACCGCCCCTGCGCAGCACCCAGGACTCAACACCCACAACACAGAGAGCCCCAGGGTGACGGTGGCACAGCTGGACTGGGACATCGTGACGGCCCCTCAGCTCGCTGCCTTCCAACCAGACGTCATCATCGCAGCAGGTGCCATTCAGCCCCCTGTGGCTTCCATTTGTGGCTTCCTTGTGGCTCCACCCACTCTCAGTTTAGGGAAGGGGACCATGGACTCTGCAGGGTCAGGGAGGTACCGATGGATGAGACATCTGGAAGGGTCACTGTGAGCCTCCAGAGTGACATCAAAGCACAGGGTGTGACTTTGGGGTGCCCTAAAGCCACATGCGCCTGTTTGATCAAGTGGCTACTTACATTCCCGTTGTAATGGTTCTATCAGATAAATGAACCTGGCTCTTGCCCGCAAGGCCTGGGATGAGCAGAGCAGGCCCCAGGGCACACGGTGGCCTGACCTATTAGCCCGGCCTTTGTGTCCCTCTCCAGAGCCTGAGGGAGGCCACTCAGTTGCCATCTGGAACCTAAATCAAGTAGTGAGAGCAGCCCCATCTTCAGGCAGAGGGGGTGGGAAATGGCTGTGGCAGCCTTGTCCTTTTGAGGCCACAGGAACAGCACAGTATTCCCAGGACTGTCTGAGTCCTCTGTGTGTCACGGGGACCCAGGGGCTCACCATCCAACATAGTGGAGTCTGAGTCAGGGAAGGCGCTCTGAGCACCCCACCTCTGTCAGCGCTGGCTTCCCTGTGCCCGGTACCATCGCCACATGTCTGTGTGGCCCTGAGGAGAAGAGCTCCTGCATATTTCTATCCCAGATGCACACCGTGTCTTTCGGAGATAAGTCCCCACAGAGGGGACCCCCCGCTTCTAGTGCAAGGACAGGTTGCTTGAGAGAAGGGACATTTGGCTTGGCCACCAACAGACCCCTTATCCTCTGCCAAGCTCACCTCAAACCCTGGCTGACAGAGCTGTCTATACCTCTGGTCCTGGGCCACAGCCCTGAGACCCATAGGCACACAGTAGCCGGAGCGCAGAGCCCAAGCAGCACACCCCAAGGTGGCACCATCCCTGTAAGCCTGGCTGTCAGGCCAGAGCGAGGTGGTCTCCACCCTGCAGAGAGCAAAGACGCAAGAAGTCTGAAGCAGACTCAGGTTTGCTTTATTAAAGAATTGATTTTTTTTTTTTTTTTAAGGAACAACAGTGAGTCCTTGATATTTTTCAGTTGTTGCCTTGTCTTTTAGCAGCTTTCATTCTCCTAAGGATTTTCTTTTTATACATAACTTTCTTTCCATCTAATAGAACTGCTGTTTTCCTGCCCCTTTACCTGCTACCAAGGTTGGCACAACCCCACACTCTCCATTCTGGGTCCTGAATCCTAGAGGGAGTCCCTGTTAGTGACCCAGGGTTTTTCATTGCAGATGTGCTGTACTGCCCAGAAACTGTCCTCTCACTGGTCAGGGTCCTGCAGACACTCTCTGCTTGCCAGAAGGACCAGCAGGCTCGTGATGCCTACATTGCCTTCACCATCCGCAACCCAGAGACATGCCAGCTGTTCACCGCTGAGCTAGGTGAGCCCAGGACAGGCTGAGAGGCCGTCCAGCCTGCAGGGGCCACTGTGCTGGCCCCACACAGGACTCCAGTGAGGCAGAAACCAGGGAAGTGAAAGAATGGGGCCCCAGCGACAAACCAGAAGCTGGGCTGGGCGATAACTCCCGCCCTGAAGTCAGCAGAGGAGACGGGGGAGAGCGGGCTCCGGGGGACAGAGATAGCGCACACCGTGATCCTGGAGGGCTGGGGCCAGCAGCCCTGCCATGTGGTTAGGGCAGGTTTCATTGGCTGTAAAGAGGACGGGATGGCGGATGCCAGTGGTGTCAGGGTAGACAAAGTTCAGACCACGTTGCCGTCAGGCACAGGCTCTAGAGTTGGTTCCAACACCCGCCCTGGTGGAGCTGAGCTGGCACTGCCTCCGGGCATCTATACAGTGGAAACATCCACCTGAGGTGGAGCAGGGCCTCTCACAGGAACGCCCAGGAAAACGGGCGCTGCTATTACTGGATTAAATGCACAGTAAATGGAAGAACAAGGGGTGACTTTCAGAAGGGAGAGGAGTCTGCCATTTACAGCCCTGAATTGGCATTGCTGCGGACCAGGCACTGTCCCCAAACCTGACATGTTCAGACTCCAGCCCCTCTAGCAGCTGGAGGGGTGTCATCCTCTGTTGCCCATGGAAACATGGGTGTAGGGAGGCTAAGTAACTCCTGCTCTCCACCCCTAATCTCCCACCCCACACCCACTGCCCTGCAATTCCCACCACCTGCCAGGCCCAACCAGGCCTTCTAACTCGGAACCTGACAGCAGTGCAGGACCCATTTGCCCCAACACCCTCCCCCTCCCCCAGCAAAGCCCCACCTGCAGCAGCCTCTGCTGACAAACAGAGACCACCCGGACACCCACCCACACGTGCCCATGTCCTATTGGCAGAGCACTGTGAGCCTCGAAAAGAATGAAGTCCCTCTGGAGATGGGACTTATGGAGAAAAGTATCTACAGTATGTATGTTTTAATATTTTTAATTTACAGTTGACATATTAGTTTTAGGTGTACAACCCTGTGATTAGATATTTATGTAACTTAAAAAGTGATGACGCTGGCAATTCCCTGGGCAGTAAACCACGCACCATCTTGTGACCTCCCCTCCCCCAATAATAAATTTTTTTTAAAAAAGTGATGATGCCAGTAAATCTAGTAACCATCTAATACCATAGTTATTACAATATAATTGACTATATCCTCTTTGCTGTATTTTACATCTCCATGACTACCAATGTGTAGTTCTCAGTCCCTTCACCTTTTTCACCTATCCCCCACCCCTTTCCCATCTGGTAACCATCAAAATCTACAATATATTTTAAATGAAGAAAGCGAAGTACCAAACAGCATAAATAGTATAAGCCAATTTTTATTTTAAAAAATAATCACCTTTATATTACTATTCACATGGGGGAATTCTGGAATAGACACTAGTTAACAGTTGTTATACTTGGGACAGCAGGATCATAGATGCTTCTACACTTTTATTTCCTTTCATTTCCTTTTTAAATATTAATTTTTCATTCAAAATAAAACTTACAAAATGAACCTCACCTATGGCTCTTAAGACATCTGTGCTCATGAAGCGGGCGGCTGCCCCTTCAGATTCATGTCAGCCTTTGTGAGGAGGCACGTGCTGACCAGTCAGGCAGAGCGGGTTCAGATCTTGGCTGCACCCGATGAGGTGTAGGACAGGTGCAGAGCTACAGGGAACCCAGACAGGCCATGACCTTTTGGGGATGGGCATGGCCGATGGGCAGAGACAGCAAACCTGGCTGTCATGAAGTATTTAAAGACACGATTCCTGGTCCTGCTCCCAGAGGCTAACTCTAGATGTCTGGATGGGGCTTGAAAATCTGTACCCTCCCCTGCTCTCCACCCCCAGGCCCGTCCTGCAGCCCTGCACTGACAGGCGACATCCTGTCCCCAGACCCCACCATCCTGAGACACATATGCTCTGTTTCCAGGGAAGGCTGGGATCTCATGGGAAGCAACGCCTCGCCACAACCAGAAGCTATTTCCCTACGAAGAGCACTCGGAGATGGAAATTCTGAAACTAATGCTGTAGGTTTGCAGATGTTTGGGGAAATTACCACGAAAATTAAATCACTTGGGAAAGAATTTTTATGTGGGAAAGCTGATAAAACTTCCCCTGGACTTAAATGTTTGAAGAGTGTTCAATTCTGAATCAGGAACCACCAACTTTGTTCTAATGAAATATAACTGTTCAAGTGTGGGGGTACCCCTTCCTGTCAGCAGTCCTGGTTGTAAGCAAATCACCATAAATCAGAAATGAAAATCTTGGCTCAGCGATAAGCATTCCACTTGTGCTGGTAAAAACATATATATCAAGTATGTTTTCCTCCATTCTGGACACACATCCTACAGTACACATGGCACATCTCTGCTCACAGTGTGGGGGCCGTGGTGCCCATGTCAAGGCAGGAATCGAAACATTAGGGACATGACAGAACAGATGCTGAGAGAGGCAGACACCAGGAGACAAAAACAGGGACAAAGAGATGTTGAATAGACCACAGGCAATTAACAGGAAAGTAATAAACTAGAGCAGCCGTGGGCAAACTACGGCCCGCTGGATCCGGCCCGTTTGAAATGAATAAAACTATTGAAAAAAAAGACCTTGCCCTTTTATGTAATGATGTTTACTTTGAATTTATATTAGTTCACACAAACACTCCATCCATGCTTTTGTTCCGGTCCAGTTTAAGAACCCATTGTGGCCCTCGAGTCAAAAAGTTTGCCCACCCCTGAACTAGAGGGAAGGAGAGAGAGAGAAGTGACTCAAGGTTGGACTAGTTTCCTGGGCCACAGATTCCCAGTCATTAGAATAGGTTCATTCCAAGCCGGAGGCTGGCCCTTCCTCAGCTTGTGTGGGAAGCGTCTCTTGGCTGTTGAGATGTACCGACCCCACATCCCCAGCTACATGGTTAGCCTCACATGTAGACCTGTGGAAGCTCCCTCCCGAAGTTTGAGGTGCAAGGCAGACACCTCTTTCCCCCACTTTAGGAAAATGTGGGACTCGTACTCTAGTGCTCTGTAAAGATTTCCTTATTACAGGTCCTCTCCCTTAACGGTTCCAATCACCCAAACCCCTTTACCCTTCATAACGCATGAAGAGCAATGAAATGGTCTCTGACAATACACATCGGGAACTAGCACTTCACTTGGTAGACAACCTTCTCCATCTGATTGAGAATTTCATTTGTGGCCCTTTGGTTTGGGATTTCTCCTCCGTTTCTGATGTTAATGTCATTGACTGTGACAGCCCAATGCACCTAACACTCTGAGCACAGGCCCACAGCCTGGCTGTCTGGAAGTATTTAAATCATTCTCAAAGAAAACAGGAAGCAATGAGGCTTCCAACAGATTCTGTGTAGAATGGACCTCCCAAAACTGGAGCAGCCAGCATGAGAAAAGCACATCGCCCCGTCACAGAGGTGCAACTGAGTGTCCCCAGGGATGGGAAGCCATCTATACCAGCACCAATTAAAACTTTCTTGCTGCCCTCACCTCTCTGTCCTGAATTGAGACTGTCTGGCAACTTAGAAAATGACCATACGACTTTTTATTGACCAAAGTGGTCATGAAACTGCCAAAATTCACGACAGCAAACCTGGCTGTCATGAAGTGTTTTAAAAAAGTTTGAATAAAGTTTAAAGGAAGGGGTGGGGGGGGGCGGGAATAATTTCATCCCACGCATGGCACCTGCTGCTATCCTTTCAACTGCCATCCACTGGGAGGCGCTGCTCTACACAGTTTGCGCAGGGAACAAGCAGCTGGAAGAGGCAGGAGGAGGGACAAGGAGCACGTTCTGGTGGGAAGCCGATGAGAGCAGGGCAGAGTTTGCATGAGCCTCAGGGTCTTCCTCTTTGTGACATCCAACACCAGGACATGCTCAGGAGGGTTCAGTCTTTGGCCCAAGGGGTCATGTGTCCACAAGCAAAGGGAGAACTGTCTGTTTCCAGCTCTCGTCCCAACGAAGCTGCTTGGACTCCCGAAGATTCTTCCGGAACTGGTTCAGTTTGCCAGCAGGATCAGGAAACTTTGAGAAAAGCATCTAGAAGAAAAATGACAAAAACTTCCCTCATCACCGCTTCCAACACCCCCACCCCTGTTCCCAGCAGCCTGGACCTCTGCTGCACCCCAAACACAGCTGCACCCCAAACACAGCTGTCCGGGCAGTGATTTAGAAACCCTCCCTCTGTGGCCACACTACCACCACCAGTGGCTGGGAGCCTCCAGTGGCCTCCCTGCACCAGCCTGCCAGTTTCCTCCACACAGAGTGGGAAACATCTCAAACATCTCTGAGCCTGACCTCCCTGGCCCAGCCAGCCCCTCCCTCACTGGTCTTATTGGACCCCTCAGACTCCAGCCATGTTCCATTTCCTACTCCTCCTACTCAACAGCTCGGCCAAGCTGCAGTGCTCGCCATCCACACACTGACCTGCAGTAGCCCCCAGCCTCCGCCATGCTGTTCCTTCCTCCAAGAGCACCCACCCCTCAGTCTCTGCCCAGCACTGTCCAGCCCATGGGCTGGGAACAAGACATTGTCTGTGTTCTTTCCAGTTTCACTAAACTGAGTCAGGTATCTGCAAACTGTAGTCTGTAGGCTGAATTGGACCTTCCACCTGTCTTTGCAAATAGAGCTTTATTGAAACACAGTCACACCAGATTTTTCTAGCTGGGCCTTTCAAGAAAGTTTGCCACCCATGTCTCAACTATCAAAAATGATGATATATGACTTTTTGTAATAAGAAATTAAGTATCCTTTGAAGACTCCCGTCCATCTTGCAAGGCTGGTCTAGGAAGCTCCCTTCACTCCTCACTCTCCCTCCTGATACCCATTGCTCCCTAAATGACAGTCCACCTGTGCACCATCATCTGCGTGGCATAAGCTCCACAAACCCAGCAGCAGGTGGAGTGTGCCTGAATTCCCCTGGGCCCACTGAGGCCCAACCTCTGGGGCCGCTGTTTCCTCCTGCTGCCTTTCCCCAGACCTAGCGCAGGCTCACGGAGTCCAGGGGCACGGCCCAGTGCCAGCCTGACGCCCTGCAAGCCCTGGAACACTACCTGCAGCTGCGCAGCCAGTTCCTCTGCGTCCTCAAAGACCAGGCCGTTCTCCTCATGTTTCACAAGCTCATGTAAGCTGCAGAGAGAATTGAGGGAAGCCCGAGAGCTGCCTGGAGAAGACACCAGAACTCCAAGGTGCCCACCTGGACCCCCCATGCCACCACTCCCCACCCACAGGCCAAGCCAGGGGTCAGGAACAGTCAGTTTGGTTCCAATGAATCTGGTCTTAGATTTGACATCTGAATAGAAAATAGACCTGGGAAGGTACATATCAAAAATCCAAACCGATTTGGGGGCATTGAGGGGGGGGGGGCGGGGGGGGACAATGAACAGGGATCTGAGCCTTTCCTGCTCTCTGCTCTTTACAGTGAGGACACACTCAGTGGGTTCTGCTTGTTTTTTAACCATGCGGCAGAGAAACAAGGTAAAAGGCAACCCCATTGGAGGCAGCACATTACGGGTGACTTTTCTGGGTAACCCCAGAGTGCAGTGCTCAGCTCACACAAGGGTCTAACATCCTGATTTCCGTCCAGAGGCTGGCTCATGAGCCCATGGGAGAGCAGTTTCTAGAGCCTCTTCTCACACTGTCCTCTCCAAACCCCCATCTTTGCCAAGAAGAGCGGAGACAGAATTGCACTCATTTGACTAATTTGAATAAGAGTAAATGAGCTCAGACAAAAGGGAGAGAGAAATAAAATCACGTAAACTGTGCAGGCAATTTCAGCCACCGCTTTATCCTTTGCACACAAGCCCCGAGTTGAGTATTGAGGACGAGTAGTTTTCCTTCAACATGAGCTCTAAGCGGAAGCCAACTCCTGCAGTAGGACTCAGCCCATCCAGGGACTCCCACTCCCAGGGCCACCTGGCTGAGCACCCCAATCAGGAGGTGGAGCCTTTCTGGGGGGCAGCTCTGACCACACTGGTTCCCCCAGCTGCTAATCTGAGAACCTAAATCCCAGAAGATTCAGTTTCCACTCCTACCACCGGAAGTTCACGGCACACACAGGCAGGCAGCATCCAAACATGTCCACCACCTTCATGGGCAGGTCCAGGCCGCTGGAGGACTTGTGCAGGCAGACACCTAGGTCTGCTGACCCTGCGGAGGGGGTGCGGGTGGGGTCGTCAGAGCACTGGCCATGCTCCCTTTGACCACACGTGATGTGAGGACTGTGGGTTGACGCCTCTGGTGGGAGTGGGAAGTGGGAAACACTCCCAACCCCCCATAGAACTGGCTGGAGCCAGCCAAGCATCCGGTGCAGGGTGGGGACACACAGTGTCCAATCCTGGCCACGCAGCCCTATCTGAAAACTACCTGTCTATCATTAACATTTTAATTTAAACAGACTCCCTTTTCCTACTTAACCACCATTTATTTTAAAAGAACCCACAGCAATCATGCTGAATGGATTCAGAGTGTCTGCTTGGGGTGATGAGGCTGTTTTGGAAACAGTGATGATGATTGCACAACACTGCGAACATAATTCATGCCACCGAGTTGTATGTACACTTTAAATGGGAAAGTGGTTAAAATGGCAAATTTTCTTATATATATTTTATCATAATAATTAGAAAAATTTTGAACCCACAGCAGACTCAACAGAAAACCAGCTGTCGCTGTGAAAATAAAGCCAAATAAACAAGCTCACTTCACTAAGTACTGGCTGGAAATGCCTGCCTACAAAGGCTCTCTGCCTGGACTGCTCACTGGCTGCTGGAAGATGAGCCTTGGAGACGCATCAGTACCAGGCCAACTCTGCCCTCCCCAGAGGAATGAAGACGGGAAGAGAAGGGGAGGACATTCTCGAAGGAAACGTAAATATGCCTAACATTCATCTCGGCACTGCCCTCCGGCACTTGGGAACAATGGGCCCCAACCAGAGCCAGCCCAGCCCTCTTGCCTGGACGGAAGAGCAGGACTGAACGGAGGGCGTGGAGGCTAAAAGGACATAAACCTCTTACAATCCCTGGCAAACAGCACCTGAGCCCACCGGGCAGGGAGGGGCTGGCACACCAGGAAACAGCCTCCCTTCCTGGAGTTCAGTCAGCAGCTCCTCCAACAGGTTCCTGGCAAG